ATGTGAACTTATATGGGTGAAACAATTCCTTCAAGAGCTTAAATTTTGTGACATCCATACTATGAAGATGTATTGCGACAATCAAGCTGCTCTCCACATTGCATCAAATCCAGTGTTTCACGAGAGGACTAAACATATAGAAATTGATTGTCATTTTGTTCGTGAAAAGTTGTTGACCAAAGAAATATGTACTGAGTTTATTGGGTCAAACGATCAACTCGCAGATGTATTGACTAAGTCATTAAGGGGTCCTCGGATTGAGTTTATTTGTTCCAAGCTTGGTACATACAATTTGTATGCTCCAGCTTGAGGGGGAGTGTTAGGATATTTATCCTATTTTATCATCATTATAGTGTGTCAAGGGTTACCCTATTTATCATGATTATATTGTGTCTAGGATTACCCTATTTATCATGATTATATTGTGTCTAGGGTTACCCTATTTATCATGTATTTGTGTATCAATTTATTCTTATAAATAGAAGATTGTGAGAGGGATCAATTAAGCCCTCAAGAATTATTTCTTTTCAATCTTAAGTATTTCGTTTGTGTTCCAGTTATGAAGGTGGATTATATTCAATGTAGTTGTTATTTGCTTAGAGTACTTCTCTGGAGGGAACACCTTGCTGAGTGCCCACAAATCTGATCATCAAAACCAGATTTTCTGAAATACAAAATCTATTGTGTTTCTAAATTCTTGAGTTCAACAGTGTCTCGTTTCTCTTCAGAAATTACTAGTCTGATCCCTAAGGCCCAACATAGGGCGTTCACTTCCTAAGACAAAGCATATGACAATCATTTTAAAAGTAAACTAAACCTATAAGCACAAAATTTCACTCAATGATACTGGTCAAATATTTTAAAAATATGTATGGAGTAGTTCAACCCAGAATGAACAAGTTGTAACCCAAACTAGTTGACAGTTGCCCAAGCTAGATAAATCTAGGTGAGTTCAATCTATAATCATCTGCTAGTTAACAAAACTTTAACAAGCATATCATAGACTTAAGTGATCTTATTATCAATTTGTTTTATGATGGTAACAAAATTTTCAGGGTGAAGGGAGGCTATCCTAAATCCATTGCAAGGACGGACTGCCAACTATAGCAGAGATAGGTAGCGATTAGAGAAATACTATAATGCCTAAAGCAAGTGTCTTCGAGAAAATGGTCAATGTGAGACAACCCCTCTTGGTTATCAATAACTTTCTCGCTGAAAAGGTAAAATGAGAATGATGACTGCACAATACAAGGAAACAAAAATGTAAGACTAATGATGGCAAGCACCAAACAGCAAATTAGAGAAAAGAATTCAAAAGCACCTCGCATAGCAATTAAAACTTGTAGGCTGTGAAGACCATGTCCCATCCCTGTGTTCCTGCAGAAAGGTAAAATAAATTGTAGAAAATAATTTAGTGATTGAAAAGAAGATGAAGTGGAGCTAGAGTCCACAGAAAGAAATAAAAACTACCATTTTCTCCAGAGATCAGGTGCCTTGCGAAGGGTACCATCTCCACTGCATGGGACATCACAAAGAACACGATCAAATAATAGTTGGCCAATATTGTGATCTAACTCGATCTTTTCATAATTTCTGTTTAATCGGCATCCAGGGAAGTTTTGTGCTTCATGATTTGTAACAATCAGATTGGCTGTGCACATTCTTTTTGTTTGGTGGATGAGAAGATTGCATCTTTGGACATCGAGATCATTTGCTGTAACCTAATTATAAAGTAATAAAAAACACAATAAAAGTATTGCATATGTAGTTGCCCAATCATTACAGGTCAGATTTAAATAACTTTGTAGTCCAGAAACTCAAATTGCTGCTAAACACTACGTGATAAAAACAATGAATAAGGGCAGAGAAACAGAAGCAACGTTTTGTAATTAAATGATACAAACCATTCCATCAGGCAGTGATCCTGATTTACTTGATTGGTGTATAATCTCAAGCAATTGGAATGTTTTTGAACCTGGTGCAGCACACACTGAAAAGGGAAGGGAAGATTAAACAATAAGAAACACTGAAGTTTGAATTCCAGATTAAACAATATAAAAAATGGGTAGGTAAAACAACAAAAAATATTTTATGCACTAGAAGTTGCTTACTATCAAGAACAAAATGATCTGAATGCACATCCAAGAAGAGAGGAGGAACCTAAGTTTCCAACAACCATTAGACTGACATTAGTTAAACTCTTGAAAGGTTAGAACAATGGTAATCTTCAGGTACTAAAGCATTCAAAATTCTGAAAATAAAATAAAATTATTCTGTATGATCATTAAGATTGGAAGAGTATATAAAGAGACCCACCATACTGACAGCTTCCTGTCTTGTGATATTTCCAATCTCGTTTTCTAGCTTTAAAAATTCATGGAACCTGCAAGAATCAACATAATCAGAGAAGCAATAGACATAAAATTTCAATTTATTGGTTGGCTTGGCAGTAGGATTTTCATGTATTTTGATAATACAAGAAGAAGAATGCCCAATCATTTCCTCAAGAGTAACAAGACCAACTAAGTTACATATTTGTTAATTTTAGAATGTGTATTGATTGGTCCCTAAACACTTCCCTAGAGGAAAAAAAAGCATGTAACTTATAGAACATCAGAAATTGCATTCACCTCTCAAGCGTTTGATTCTTCCTAAGCTGCATCCTAGAAAAATTTGAATGCCAAGCAAAATTCCCAGGATACCACAGCAACGGCCGAATAGCCTCAGTCTCACCCCCTTCACCAACCTACAGGGAAAAATCCACAAGAAAACAATAAACACTAAAACTAAAAAAAGAACGAGAAAAACTGTATGAGGTAACATACCTCGTCGCGAAGAGAATGCACGAAATCATTCTCCAGTTGAGAACGAATGTCGTCGGAAAACTGGCTACTGCAATCGCGAAAGAGAACAGCATCTGAATGAGAAAGAGAATACAAAAGAAAGAACATAGTCGAATATGAGAGTTTGAAATTGTTAGTGTTGGTTTACCTAGAGTTGATTCTGAAGGTTGCAGGCAATGGAGTTCGGAGAACAGCAACGAATTGGTCCCACTGTTGCGGTTCGACTATTCCCTGCTCTTTGTAGTAGAAATCGAAAGCGGCGTTCTCGGTGGCGAAAGGAGTCCATGAAGGATTGTTTTCTGTTGAAGAAGGATCAGGATCAGATTTGGAACGCTTCCACACGTTCTCTCTGCTCTGGCGGAAATGCTTTCTTTGAGTGCGGGACCTGCCTCCTCTCCCACCACCCCCCATGGTTGTCGTCTCCGCTTGCTTCTGCTTCGCCGGGCGGTTACGCCGTTCAGTTTTTTGTAGGGTTTTGGCAAATCCTGCGGTTAACACTTATTGGGCTTTGTATCTTAACGCTTGACCCAAATGCACTTAACCGTCCCCAACTTCTTTATCTCCAAGTTCCTTCCCATACACACTGAACTTTCTTTTTTTTTTTCTTTTTTCAAAAATGAGTATTTAACGTCATAAAATGGTAATGACATTAGATAATATTTTTAGTAAAAATATCTCAATTAATTGAAATTATTGTTACAAAATAATTAATGAATCGTTCAACTACACGAGTCTTGTAGAATAGGAATAGAGGAGTAATATATAAAATATAAATAATTTTTATAATTTTATTTTAAATAATTTTTATAGGTAGTTTTCATAGTTAAAAAAAGTGGTTAAGTTTATAAACTATCAAATTGAAAAAAAAAAAGTAAAATTTAAAAAATAATAAAGTTAATAAAATAATTATTTTAAATTTGAAAAACTTTAATTTAAAAGATAAATTTGGAAAACAAATGAAGATATCAAAAAGATAAATCTCTATATATAATATAAACTTAGAATATTTGACAAAATAATATAAAATTTATTCGTATTTTTCATGAATTTTAATTAGAATGAAAAACATCAAATCTATATTGTTATTCATATCAATAAACAATTTTATTTCTCTTCTTAGAAATAGCGTTTAAACATCTCTATAAAATAATTTTCACCTCTCTTAATATCTCATTTCATTTCCAATACTTCCTCCTAAACACATTTCACCTCCAATACTTCCTACTAAGAAACACACACAATATTAATTTTTCATTTATTTTGTGTTAAATAAATTACAATTAAAAAATAAAGTTATATTTATAAATAATAAAGATATATTTTCAAATAAGGTCAGACATCTAATTGTAACACTCAAAAGTTCATAAATTATTTCTTATCATATGAAAATTTATTACAAAATAATAAAAGAATATAAAATATGGACATGGAGAACCATATTAAACTCATGATAAAAATAAATAGAAATATATAACCCTAAAATAAAAATATATTTAAAAACAGAGTGGCTTAACAAAATTAATTACCGTTCATTAATGCACCCGACGAAAAATATAGGATCCCTTCATTTTTGTTAAGTTTATCGCAAGATTCTCAGTATTTACAAATCATAGTAAACTTCGACTAATTTAAATCGATTGAACCTAAAGGCATATAACTTTTTTACCATTTATTTTTTATTCACAAACTTTACTAAAAAGTAAAACAATTTCAAGGCACTTTAAAAATATTTAGTAAATATAAAGTCAAAAGGTAAATATACGTTAAATAAAAGAATAAAGTTAACAGTCCCATCCTTCGTGAACAGATAAAGTTAACCTGAATTAATATACGTTAGATAAAAAAATGAAGAAAAATATAATATTTTAATTTTTGAGGTTCGTGAAGAGCATGATGCATCAGCATCGCTCGGAGCTTTTAACGGATGCCGATACAGTGACAACGATAGATCACTTAATATTCAAACGTGAATTTGCATTCGAGGATTATAATAATTGAAAAGAAGAGACATCGCATTCGAAAATTATTTTTTATACATAAAGAGAGAAAGTGAATATAACATATCTTACAGTGTGATTATTTTGGCCAAGTGCGAAAACACTAAAGCAAGAAGAAGACAAGCTAACTTGCAATGAAAGGAAAATCAAAAACCATGGTAGAGAGGTTTTGTTTGATTCCCTATCCATCTCGTTAATGAACATCTTATCTTAAACTGCTTTTCAGGGAGAATTGGTGTGCAGAGTGCAAAAACATTGCAGGCATCATTGTTCACAAAGCACAGACAAAATCACCGCTTGTCTCAATATCATCGATGTCAGCATCTGCATCGATGTCATCAAGGTCCATGCTGCCCCCAACAAATTGCTCACCAACTCTTGGGCCCTCACCCGGTTTTCTAGCCTCTTGAATTATGGACAATATTTCTTCAATGCTTTGAGTCTCACACGATTCCTTCATGTCATTTTGCAACACTCCTTCTCCCTCCTCCATAAATTCTACTGGTAAGTTCTTCAGGAACCAAGGGTGCATTTTTATCTCTGGTATGTTAATTCTCTGCTTCAAACGATGAAACCATAGTTAGGATACTCAAATATATATGCTATTAACACATTCAACCGATGGTACCTTTTCTGGGTTGGCCACAAATATTCGAGACAAAAGGTGTCTACACTCTTTACTGATACGTACATAGTCTGGAATAGAATAGTGGACGCTAAGAATTCTCTGTCAAAATTATCCAAACTGAATTAATAAATTGTGTGATTAATTAGTGATAATCAGTGACAATTAAGTGTGTACACTTGGACAAATAAAGGTAACTCCTATTATTATTGGTCGAACAAACCTGAAGTGTTTTTCTGAAGTTTCTTGGGTCTTCTGGGTCTTCAAAAGGATATGCACCAACCAACATCACATATAAGGTCACCCCACAAGACCAAACATCTGCAACCTAATCATTCTCGAGGATAAGAACATACCAGTGGCCAAAAAATTAGTTCCAAATGAGTGAATACACGATTACATGATTGGAAAGGGAAATTTAGATGTAAAGTTAAGTTACCTTCCCATCATATTCTTTTCTTGACAAAACCTCTGGTGCAATATAGGCAGGGGTTCCTACAGTAGATTTTGGCTGGGAGTGCAGAACTGATGACTGAAAAAAGAAAAGGAACAACATTGAGTAATGAACCAGACTCTCAAATATTGAATGAAATTTAAGTTATGAGTTATTTATTGCCTTTGAGTAACCAAAGTCGCAGATTTTAAGTCGTGGTGCTGAGCTTCCATCTAGAAGTGTGTTTTCCAGCTTAAGATCCCTATGGCAAATTTCCTGCAACAAAATTACTTCTTCAATTCAGCTGATGAAAGTAATCAGACTGAATTTGAAACAGTCGTTGAGAAATAAACCATTCAGATCCAGATTGGACAAGAAAATGTTACCATTGAATGGCAATAGCTGACTCCAGAAATCAATTGCTGAAAGAAATATCTTGCCTGTGCAAAGAAAAGGAGAAATTAAGACAGCATTTTATTCTCTTTAAAAGTATCTAGCATTCGAAATACTGTGCATAAAATAAGATAAAAGGAACAAAGTCAAGTAATTAGATAATAACAGTGTGTTAAATGCAAAAATCGAAACTGTATGAATAAAATATGTTAATTATCAAAAGCAGCTAACATGCCATCAACTTGCCATTGGAAAGTTCATGCACTAGAATTATATGTATTTGTTTAAAGAAGAAACAGTACTCCTATTTTGTTTCATGCAGAGTGTACAGTTGATACAATCTTAATTTATTACTGTTTTGGAATCTAAAAAATTAAGTAATACAATGGCCATGTTGGACAAAAGCACTACCTCGTCCTCACTGAATCTCCCAGCACTACATATTCTTTCAAACAGTTCTCCCCCGGAAGCATATTCCATGACTATTGCAAGATGAGTTGGAGTAAGTAACACCTGCATTGAATTTCCATTTGATGTCTCAAACCAGAGTGAAAGGCAAGAAACAATTGTTACAGACAAAAAATGGTCTCATAATAAAGTAATAACAATGTATATAAACGATGGATGGCAAAATGAAAACAAATATACGGAGAAGAAAGAACATGACTTTTACCTCTTGCAATTGAAAAGGAGCAATGACTGTTCCTCTTCTCCAGATATTAGTTTTACTTGTATGCATTACTTTTGTAAGAAAAAAATGATCTTTACAAATCAAATTGAAAAGATTTGTTGATTAGTTCCTTAAAAGATTCCGGAATAAGCAAAATCAGAAATAAATGAGAGTGAATATTGAGATGCCTGAGGGAACTGTATATATGGTAGAGAATAAAGCTGAGTTACGAAGGACAATGAAAGAAAACATGCTCCCATAATTGGCCTGGAATAGTTGTTCCATTCTGGGACAAAACTGAATTCAGGAGCATATAGCACTGGATGCATATTCATTTTCGCAAAAGTTGGTAAGAAGTAGCTAAAGAAAGCAAAGGATTTGGTTTTGGAGAAAGGATATAGAATAACTGCACTAAAAGCTTTGATATTATACTCATTGAAACCAAAAAGTCTGGAATTTGGTACCTCTTTGAATCTAATGATATTGGGGTGCTTCAAAGCTCTGTGATTTATAATCTCTCTTTGCACGTGCTCATCAATCTGCAGAACCCAATAGAAAAAGAAAATATGAAAGCAGAAAAGAAGATTGGTAGGGAGAGAAATGATGTTGGAAAAAAGAACCTTGAAGCCTCTCTCAATGAACTTGACAGCGTATAATTCAGCAGTCCATTTTTCCTTGACGAGCTTTGCGACACCAAAGTTCCCTGACCCAATATCTTTGATTATCTCATACCGTTCCATGGTTAAGCAAGTTTGAAACTTGAATTGAAGTGTGTGTAAGTATCAGCAACAGGGAATTGTGTTAAATGAGATGTGAGCTAGCCAGAGAATTGGCCAATCTCTCTATGTTGCTTTTCTTATTGGACTTGTACTACTAGTTTGCGTGTAGCATCGCATCTTTTTTAAGGCCTCCAAATTCCAATGCGCAAAAGCTTGCAATAAAAGATGATTGGGTTCTGGGTTTTGATGCCTTTGTTGCAATTTACAATTGGACTGTCACTATGCCCTCAGACACAGGACTTTTGTATGTCAGAAATTTATATTTAGTTTAGGTAGGTATAATTTATTAGGGATGACATAACATATTTTTCTTCATAACCACAATCTTTATAAAAAAAACTATTTTATACTGTATTTTCAAAATTAGTTTTTTTTTTAACAATTACAGAATGTTGCCAATAATAATGATTTATATATCATTATGTCTTATTTTACGTCATTGAACTCATATTTTATATGTAAAAATATTATATTCTCATTCTCCTCCTCCTCTTTACCATGATTACACACTTTAAAATTGTCTCACATATTANATATCATTATGTCTTATTTTACGTCATTGAACTCATATTTTATATGTAAAAATATTATATTCTCATTCTCCTCCTCCTCTTTACCATGATTACACACTTTAAAATTGTCTCACATATTAAAAATTACAATACATGTATAACGTATTAAAATAATTTCACTCCTCTGATAAATAAATTAGTTTGACTTATAAGAAAAAAAAAAAGGTACAATTTCATATACATTAGAGAAAAATTACTTTATTGAGATATGACAACGTCAAAGCTTAAAACTAAAAGTGTTTAACAAATAAGGGAATTCGTAAAAGTTTTAAGCATAATAAGACTTACACATTTAATATATATATATATATATATATATATATGGGTTACATCAAGCTTGTTTGAGACGAGGAGGAAAAGGTGACGAAGGAAGGAAAAACTGAAATTTTAAATTTGAAGCGAAAGAAAAGTTGAAAAAGAAATATTTAGTATATTTTTTTCTTCATAAAATAAAAAAAGAAATGTCGTTACCTTTTTTCTCCTTATCAAACATACTTTTGGAAAGAAAAAAAAGTATAGATATAATATATAATTGAGAAAAAATAAATAAAAATGGTAAGAATGTATGTAGTTTTACATTAAATTGTTTTTAATCATATAGTTTCATGAATTTAATTTATGGATTTTGATGATGATCACTCTCTTTACTAAATTTTACTTAAATAACAACGTGCGAGCTGAACAGTGTATACATGAAAAATCCCAGAGTTGTTTTTCTTGGGTACACATAAAAAAGATTAAAAAGAAGAAGAGAAATAATTAAATATGAAAAAAGAATTAGTATATATAGGAATAATATAAGAAGATGGAAAGTGACACATGGCAGGAAGTAATTGGTTTGAAGTGGTAGGAAGGTTTTGATCCGAGAAGCACGTCGGGTAAGGACAACGATGCGTACTCGCCCTTCCGTTGGCGTGGTGAAACAGAGAAGGGGAGTCAACGAGGGTTGACTATTTTGAGCGTGAGAAAGGCGAGTAGAGAAGTTTGGTAGTCGCGGAGGGTGGTTATGAGTGTGCAATTAAGAGAAGAAAGAGGCGAATGAATGGGATAGAAGTTACGAGTTACGAGGTGGAGGAGCATGGACAGGTCAGGTCAGAGCCATGCCTTGCTTACACAAATTTGGAGAAAGGCTTATCTGACACCTCATCACAACTTCAAATATCACATTTAGGACTATTTAATTATTTTTTATATGAATATCAAATTACTTTTTATATTGTTTATTATATGAATAATGATTTGTTTAGTAACCGGTGTTAAAATTTAAATACTTGTGTTTTTACTTTAAGTAAGAGTGTGAATAGTTTTTAAAAGTGATGATTAAATTATTAACTAAAATCAAAAGTGGAGGTATGAGGCTAGACAACAAAGGGTGCTAAATATAAAAAGGTTTCCTCTTTTATTTTTTTGAAAACCCAACATTCCTAATATTTCTTTATTGTCTTTTTTCCCTCTTTAAAGAAAAAAACGTTTTTCTCCTTCCTTTGTGCTTTTTTTCCTTTAAGCTAGACATTAAAGTGAGAGACATGAACCTTAAGGTAAAGTATTTTAGGTATTTTAAACTTTTTCTATTTTGCCCTTTAGATAGTACAAAAATGAGAGAGGAGAAAAAAAGTAATTTTGTAAAATTGAATTGATGGTACAATGTATACTTTTGAGATGATTAAGTATGGAATTGGTGAACTTAAAATAAGCTGTATTGTATTGCTTAGTTTTGCTGTTCAGTGCACATGCAGCACGAGAAGTACAATTATTCTCTTTCTGTGTAGAACCAATTCTAGCCCCCTTCAATTCATTAAATTACTCTATCTTATTAAAAAATATTACTTAAATTATGAAGCATGAGTTATTTCAAACGCTGTTTAATGCTAATTCCCTACTATAATTTTTTAATGTTCGTGTTTTAAATATTTATTTTATTTATATATAATGAGTTATGTAAGTGTAAAGTTTTTCAGTTTTTTCAAATATAGAGTTTTTTGAAAAAAATATATGAATAGTTTGAAAGTAGAGTCAGATATTTATATTATAATTGATTATGAGGATTGAACATAGTTCTATAGACATTTAATTCACGAATTTTGATTTGATGAGGATAATATATGCATAACATGTTTAATTTTCATTAATTTACTTCTTTTCTTTTGTGTTAGTGATCTTTAACTTACATTAATCCTATGATACACGTGAGTAGTGATCATGTAAATTATAATAGTGAGCAATAGTAAGACTACAACTCACTGAAATGATAGTCTAAATTGTATATGTACATATTTAGTAATTGGTAGTTCCTCTTATAGTTGTGATGTTTTTTTGAAAAATTTTATACACATCATATAATTGTAAAGAAATTGTAACAAAATAATACATACTAGTAAATTTTACATGATGAAAACTACACACTTTTTAAAAAAATCTGGAACATAAGAAATTTAATTGATTTATTGAAGAAAACATTTAAAAAAAAATGAAAAAAGCAATTAAAATTTCACGGATTTGAATTTCTTAGAATTAAAAATTATTTTAATAAATTTTCCTAAAAGCTAAGTCGTATTGGTTGGCAGGTCTAGGTGATTTTTCAAAACCTATACTATGTTGATTTAGTTAAATATATTATATATCAATAAAATTAATATTTACGGTTTTACACTTCCTAAAGTTCATTTGGTTTTTATATTTAATTAATTCAAATTATTCCCAATTTATGATTTTATATTTAGTTTAGATTTAAAAATATTCACATGTACTAAATGTAACTAAAAGAAGACAATAACTTGTATAGTTGGTAGAAGGTGTGTATTTATTGTGTATGTATCGATTGATTGTATCCTGCGTTTGTTGAGAAAGATGTTCCCACTTTGGACTTATTCAATCCTCTGTCATGTCTTCCTCAGTTTTATGTTTGTCCAACGGTTCAAACGAAAATATCTTTGAACTGTTTTTTTAGAAGAAAATTAGGTTTTAACGTGGGTTTTGACTAAGAATCTTGAAAGGATCCTTTTTCCATAAATAGATAAACAGAAATTTCTTTTTTTTTACAATAGAACAAAACAATGTTTTTGTTTTTTGCTCTATGTATTATCATAGCTCTTTTTTATAATTTGTTTGGTGGTTAAATTGATGGAAGAGGATGACTGAAGAGGAAACTATAATTACATTCAGATGGAAAAAAAAACCCAGTGAAAAAGAATTTTTAAAACTTGTAAGTTTAAAGTGTAAAGTTCAAAGAGATAATTTTTTCAATGAAATGATTATTTTTATTATTGAATCTTATCCTATAAAAAATTTTAGGTCGTATAATGACAGTTTTAGTGTATAAAATACACATCGAAATAAAAAAAAATATCAAGTGATTGAACTGAAGAGTAATATCAAGTTTTTCATATTAGATAATTCAAAAAAACATCTTACTTTTTTTTATTTCTTTTCTCTTTTTTTATTCCACTTTTTTTTAAAAACCAAATAAGAGAAAAGGGTTAACAATCATTGCCTTTCCTAATGCATTTTAGGTATGTTACATACATCCTTATTAATAATCACTGACTAATTTCTTTGAAGATAAAGATAAAGATGAATAATGTAAGTATTGCTTTCTATGATTGTTTCAAGGTGTAGTTATTTTATGAAAAGATTTGTTATAGGGTATGGTAAAATTTAAATGTTAAATGATTTATATTTTAAGTTATGGATGGTTCAATAGTCTGTAAGTTAAATATTCTGTAACTGATATTGATTTGAATGAATGAAAATAGCACGATTAATTTGGAGCGAAAATGATGAATTTTTTTTAAATTTTTTTTGGATAATTCACTAGCAATTAACGAATTAAAAATAATGAGTATGAATATACAATTTTTATAAATTTTACGCAGTAGTGAACTAAAGACAGATATATAATAAATCAGTTTATTAAACAAAGTTTGTTTTTGTCTAACGAAATCAAGATAAAAAAATTCTCTAAAAAATTCGCTACCACAATTGTTAAAAGAAACTCAGTTTAAAGGTCATATTATAATAAAAAAAATTAATATTTTATGAATATACTCATAAAAACTCATAAACTCATATATATAGAGAATTTTTTTTATTCATTCTTTTTTCTTATTTTACCTTTCACGTGACCATTTTTTTATAAATTTAACGATTTAAAAATGAATATTTTTTATTAAAACCATATAAGTATCATCATTTTAAATTTCTTCTTCTTATATTTATTGACATTTTAAACATTCAATACTATTTTCATTCTTATTCTTTACTATCTATAATTTAATTATTATTGCAGTACATTTAGGCATTAAAAAAAGATATTCAATAAATACATGGCAGGCTATCGTTGTTATGGATGTTTTTCTATTTATTATTGTCAAAAATTGTAGAAAATATTGAAATATGATATTAATAAAGTGAGAAATAATATGAAGGAATATTTAGGAGTGGGGCCAGGATAGGGAAGGTGGTGGCCCATGTTTGTTAGTGTTGGGATTGGTGGATTAAAGCGCAGGAAAAGTGTGGACGAAAGAAAGAAAGAAGGAACGGTGGTGTGAGTGTCATGAGAAAGGAATCTCAGTTGCCTACCTATCCTGGTTAGATAAGGGGTCTTCGGTGTGTCAGCATAATCATGTGTAAGTGTAGATAATTATATATTAAT